TATCGAAGAGCGTAGGTCAATCCCGTCGCCTACCCACTTAGTGCGTTCTCCAAGCATCCAACATGAAAAAGAGAACCCTCCGTCTTTCGATCTGAGTGTTCTGCACAAACATTTCGTACGACCGCTTGAGTGAAAAGTCATGGAAGCGCACTAAAAGGACAGGCGACGGAATTGACCAGCGCTCTTCCATGTTCGTCCAAACGAATCGTCAGCGGTCTTCCAGTCCCACTCACTCCGCAACCTCTACATCGGACTGGATACCCAGTGCCTTGAAGTCTCACAGATCTTCTCGGATCGCATCAAGCCAGAAATCATTGCAAGGGAGAAGCTATGTGACGACCTCCTACGGCTAATTGCGTGGCAAATGTGGCAACAGATGACCCTTGTGTCCTCAGAACTGCTGGGCACTCTCCTCCCCCATTTATACTGCACCGGCAGGCTCACCCCGTCCGCACCCTTGCTAGGTCTCAATGCTGATGTTGATGTAATTGTTGTAGCTGTAGGTCGCTAATGTGTCGTAATTTAAAGGCAGTTGGCACGATAAATCCCCCAAGACGACTAGGATCAATACTCCTGGCAGGATAGAATTCCGCGACCCTGGGCAGGCGCTGCATAGCGGTTTCCCCGAGGAAGGTGCCCTTATAAGGGCCCTATCAAGCCACAACTTTACGTCCCAAACGCCCGCCCGCCCACAAATGGACGACCGTTCCTGACGCTCTAATCGATTCATTTGCTAAGCAAATTATGAAGCGAAGGGATTGGTATGAAGCGGCCGTGATGCTGCATGCATACATGGGTACACATATGCAGCCGTATCTTCGGTAGATTGGTAAGATGCCTACGGGAAACTCGTCCGAAATCGATTTACAAGTCACTGAGAACGGAGGCTTTTTCTTCGCAGGATTTTGACCGTTTCACTCCGTTCTTTCGCCATTTCCCCACTATACAGCGCCCTACTAGCATTTTAGGCTAAGTAGGAAACCATCGTGCCAACTGCCTTTAAAGGCCTGATGACGGCGTTATCGCCGAAAGCCTACCAATAATGGATTTGATGCAAGAGCTTCGAAATCATCATCTATACTACCTGTTGGGTGTCTTCAATACCCCAACATTCGGCCGGCTTTCATCATGCTGTCATTAGCGTGTCCTTCCTCTTACGCACTGCACCACCGTCGAAGACATCGAAGAGGGGCAGGTTAATGGCATTGTTACCGAGTCCTTCCCATTAGGGAATCCGGTACGGTGTTGTCAAGGATTTGAAAAGATCAAGAGTATCACTGACCTTCACGGTGTTTTGTGGAGTGAGAATGAAGTCCCGAGGGAATGTGAAGGTTACATGCTTGAGTGTAGAGCTGGTGCTACGAAGTGTCCATTCGCCCAGATCATAATCAACGTCTAGCGATGTGTTCTCCAGAACAATATACGATCCATCTTCAGCCACCTCCTAAATATTGATCATACTGATTGTGTTGACTGGTGTATAAGTGACTGTTTCCTACTCGATTGAATGTAATTAAACGCATCAGGAATAATGAAATATGGAAATTCGGGTGAAGCCATACGCTGAAACTCACTCCGCACTTGTTGATGCAAATATAAATTTGAAGGTTATAATGGATTTGATAGTGAATGAAAGAGCAGAAGAAATGGTCGAAATTTTTCCGAATGGGAGCTATTGTTCAACAGTGGCGGTAATTAGAGACGCAGAGACGCTGCGGGTTATGACCATCGACTTCGCTCACCTCGAATTTCGCCACGCCACTGGTGATGTACTGGCGTAAGTTCACGCAGTCGCGTACACAAGCCAGTTGTACATTCATAAGCGTCGAAATTCGAGGTGAGCGAAGTTTCTGGTCATCACAAATACCTTGACCCTAGACATTATCGAGTGGCGAAAGTGGCAATGAATTACACTCTACATCCCGGCGAATAGAGTGGGCGTGGCTGCGCTCTTTACTCGAACATGGCATAGAATGCACTGTTTGTGGGATTTTCATTCGATACAAATATTATCCTATCTGGTAGTGAACGAACATCTGTTTGCAGCTGTTAATTTAATATACCCCTGAAAGCGCAGCTGCCGTTACGTTGCCGTGGAGTGCGCAGCCACGTCCTCCCTATCCATAAGATGATTCGTACTTGCACTCGTTGTGTGGAAGTGTACCGCATTCGTGATTTGGATGTAGCTGGGAGCCAACCTATGTACATCCAGTCGTTTTCGCTGCAGACGGTGAGGCGGGTCACGGGGCTGGGTTTGGCGCGGCGCCAGCCAATTCTTCACCAATTGCTGACGCGTGCAAGCGAAGAAATGGTGGAAAACGGGCTGGTGCAGTGCCGAACCCAACTCCCTCTGACACGAGCCTGCGACTGCAGCGAAAACGACTACACATGCAGTCCTCATCATTGCGGACTGTCGGGGCGGCTGAGCCGCGCTGCACTGTGACGCGACAGCGGCTGCGGCTCGGTGACGGCGAATCAGCTGATTTCGATGGAATTCGGCTGCGAATTCCCACTTTTCAGCTCTTCAAGCTTCTAAAGTGGAAGGTGAGTTATTCTGAACAATTTTGAATTGTACTGGCTCTGATTTCCTTTATTTTTATGTCGATTATTATGCTCTTTTCCTTGTATTTTGCCTTATTTCAGGCATTTATTCAAATGGCTTGCATTCTTTCAGATTCATTCAGGCCGTACAATTTAAAATTGTTCAAAATAACTCACCTTCGCCGAATTCCAAAACGGCTGATTCGCCGTCACCGAGCCGCAGCCGCTGTCGCGTCACAGTGCAGCGCGGCTCAGCCGCCCCGACAGTCCGCAATGATGAGGACTGTATCTAGGACTCTCGCGCAGCAACCCATGCGATCTCCAATTCCTTGTTGTTTGATTTCTAGTCTTCGCGCTTACGGTTTCTCCGGGTCTAGGGACAACTTGACGATTTTCCTTGCACCTTCTCTCTGAACTTGGAATCCCATCACCTTCTCCTACGTACTACTGCAAAGAGTGCCTTTGAAGTAAGTTCCTTTTGAGTTACAAATGTTCAGTTGGAACGTAAATTAAATTATGAGAAGTTCATTTTATGCCTAACATAATTCATGGTAATTGTTTATAGGACTGAAAGGATATAGAGATCGTGGAGCTCACCGCAATTGCGACATTTCCTTGAGTTGAACGGTGGTAATCATGCTCCAAAGTGTTGATTCTGGACGTGTTCAGGTCATCGCTGACCTCCTTGATCATGTGGTCCAACTTGGAGATGACCACCGGCGCTGAGTCAGCTAGTGATCCGTAACGTTCGTGATGCACAACACCAGATCCAAAGTCTTGCGATACCACACCGTGACCGATTTGTATAGAATACTGTCCAGCACCGCTTCCAGTCTGTGAATGGGCGGTGGAGATACCGCTTCCTATCTGTTGTGACTGTGCTGTCGCACCTCCACCGATGCGATATTCTTTCAACGAGTGATTACTGTTTTGTACGTGTGTTGATGCAGAGTTCCCAGTTTGTGCGTAACTAGCTTCGCGCGAGTGGCTCGTCTCGTACGTTGGAGTATGGTGTACTCGATGAACGCTCACATCTCTGGCGATGTCGCCTGAAGAAACTGGCTTGAAAACATTTGAAAAAAACCTCATAGCAGACCCTTAAATGTTGTAAGATCCTTTAGGGCCCTTACGCTTACAATTCATTTACTTGTGAATGTCCTATGAAATTCCAGATGGTTGTACACTGCAAGCATAATCATAGTTTCACACCATGAATCTCACAAAATCCCGTCTTACACGACGTTTTCAAAAATGCCCCCATACAGAAAATGTGGTAATTACCAATACCAATTCGCATGCCAACACCAAACTCTAGCTTGAAAAAAATTTTTTTTCGTCAATTTTTTCAAAAATGGTCGTTCTGACAACGCAGCAAAAGTATAGTTCCACCGCATATTTTCCGGCTGCATCTCATTTTTGTTCGGTGAAACTTCTCATCATTATGACTTCTTGCCTCTTCTAGGCTATGGCAAGTGGAACTTCATTAATGGACCTCGAAAAAGGACAGATTATCGCAAAGAAGACTCAAAAACTGGTGAATCGTCGATGGCTCGGGATTCGGGCCGCACTCATCATACTATCAACGATTTTTCCAAAGGGAGCCCACAGGATATTGAGCTGAGAAGAGCTCTAGACATCCTTCTTTGCTGCCCGATCGGAATAACCGCCGTATCCTTGGAAAGCATCCAACTCTGCAGTGTCGTGTTGGGAAATCAAGACAAGACTCTCGGAGGTTAATATCTCGGAGAATACTGTTAGGCCGTCTCTTGAAAAACTCCCGAGTTCAGCCATAGGAGGAATATGAGTTATGCACTGTTTCCAACGAAAAACCATCGCGAAAACCTAATTGGCTTTGCTCGAAGATGTTGCCGAACCCAATGAAGTGGGGTTGACTTTTGGCTGCTGTGCACAAGTGCTTGTCTGTAGTGTTTTTTT